CAGAGGTGGCCATGTGGGTATGTATGTATGTAAAGAGCCATCCAGCTGCACACTTAAGATGACAGCGCTTTATGATCAGCTGTACCTCAATTTAAAACCAATTAAAATTTTAAGGAGAAAAAAAAAAGTCAAACCCTCAGCCAGGTTTGGGAAGCCCTTGCGCTGGCTTACTAGGTAATATTAGAGACTGCTTTTGAATTTCTTCCTATGCCAACTTGATGTTTGATTCTGTCACTCAAGTATCTATCAGCACCTCCTCTGGGGACAGTCTTGAGCGAGTTGTGATAGCAGATACACAGGGGAAGTGTTCCAAGGCCCAAAGGGCATGGGCAACGGGTGGGAATCCCGGTTTCGCCCTTACTGCTGTGCAAGCTGGACTAAGTGACGATCCTCTCTGACACTCTGTAATCTCATGTGTTGGGATTAAACAAGATAGTGTCCAGCACTGTGCCTCTCACCTATTAGGTGCTAAAAAAGAAAAGTGGGCCCTGATATTATGGTTCATGCCTTCACCCCTGCAGGGGTGGGCTGTATATGGCCCTAGAAATCATTTGGTCTGGCCCTGCCATGGCAACCGCAGGTGAGACTCGAAATTCAATAAATCTAGGAACCTTTTTCACAGCTAATTTTTAAGCTGATAATTTTGTATGGCCTGTGAATGGTGTTATAAATATCCAAGTGGCCTCTGGCAGAAAAAAGTTTCCCGCTTTAGAGCAACACTTTACCAACGGCAGGTGTTGCGAAATCAATTTAGTGGGTTATAAAGTAGCATTAAAAAAATTAAGACTATAATAGAATAGAAATTCTTATTTGCACTGCACCTAATAAAGGAAACATTGTGATGTTTTATACACTGTACACTGGGTATCTGCACTGCACTTAATAAAGGAAACATTGTGTTGAGTTTTATACATTGTACCCTGGGTTGCGACATACTATGTATTTCTTGCGAAGGGCAGATGGTGAAAAGCGATTACAAGCCCTGTTCCGCTGAACCCCACACAGCTCTGTGACACAGAAGGTGCCAGCTCAATGTGGCAAAGTCCAGTTCTTGGAATTAAGTAGGAACAATAATATATTATAAAAATAATTCTAATATTTCCAAGAAAGGCAGATGTTTGATTTTTTTTTTTTTTTAGACAAAATGCTCTGAAGTGGAGCTAATAAGATGAGGGGCAGCTGCCTGGAGGACGTGGCTGCAGACCTGGAGCTGTGCAGAGCGAGCTCTGAATTCCTGGGGCTGGAAGGAGATGGGCAGGCCGAGGGGGACTCAGGGTCGACAGGGTGGTCAACCGGGCCCAGGCCCGTATCTCCCCCCCTCAGGAGGGCCCAGGCGGCTCGGGGGAGCTCTGCAGTGGTCCTGCCCGCGATGGTTCAGGTGGAACCCTGGCAGGAAGGCAGATGGCAGGATCACCCAGTGAGGGAGCCACGCCTGTCCCGCGAATGAGCCGAGGAAAAGCCAAGCTTGGTACTAATAGGTGGTTTATCACCTAATAATCTCATTTTAATAAACAGAAGAACAGGCTTCAGGCTCAGCACCTTCTGCCGGCGATAGCCCCGGGCTAGGACTTGCTTCTCACTGCTCTGAAGTTCACAGACACCTTCAATTCCTGGCAGGTGACAGGGGGTTTGCATTTCTAGGGATGAGGTAACATGTTTACCGTTTTTTAATTCATCCATTCAAGTTTTAAAAAGTGGGCCCATGTAAATGAAATATAAAGTTTAGAATAGTATGGGCAGAGGTAAATATGGCAAAAAGTGTGAACATGGCCCAGGAGGAGCTGAAATTAGGCAAATGCTGCTGAGGACCCTGGGCTGGGGAACCTGGCCATGGTTTTGCAGTGCCTGGCACCAATGGGTGTCACAGAAGGACAGACACACTCCCGGGTGGCAGTGCTCAGGGGGGGACCAGATACCTTAAGGGAGAGCACAGCCAGCCAGCTGCTAAAAATTCTTCACCAACACAGGGTTTTACAACCAAAAGGGGTCTCCTCCTGTCACCGGGGGTCTGCTCCTGTCACCCGGGAGCCTCTCTACAAACACGCTCTCCTTTGTGTGGCCTTGATGTCATAATGAAATCTCCACTCACAATCTTCTCTTCCGTCTTTCTTTATCTGTCGCCTTCATCTCATGTCACCCTTCTCAACTTGTTCTTTTGAGGTCACTGGAGTCTTACAGGAGAGTGAAAAAAAAAATAAAAAGTACAGAAAGTCCCACACACCCTTCACCCAGCTTCCCTAATTCTCACATCTTACAGAACCACAGAGAGAGTCTTAAAACGAAGTCTGCCTTGGTACATACAGTACTATTAACTAGCCACAGACTTCACTGGGATGTCACCAGTCGTTCCACTAATGTCCTTTTCTGGTCTCAGGTCCAATCCAGGGTCCCGCACTGCCTCCAGCTGCTGCTCCTCCAACCTGTGGCAATACCATGCCCTTCACTGTTCGCCAACGAACATTCAGTGCCCACCTGTGCCAGGCACCATGGATGGTGCTGGGGAAACAGGAGTGAAGACAGGCGAGGCCTTGAATGGAGGGATTTACGTTCTCAGGGAGGGGACAGATAATAAATGTTTTAACCAACAAAAAAAGAGATGTGATTGCTCTGAAGTGCACTGAGAGCTATGAAGGAGCACACAGGGTGCCCTAACAGTGGGTGATGGGGACAATCCAGGCTGAGTGGTCAGCGCAGGCCCCTCCGAGCAGAGATCGGAAGGAAGGGAAGGGCATTCTAAGTGCAGGGAATAGCGAGTGCTCAACAGTGGCTCAGAGGTGGGAGCAGCAATGGCCTCGAGGCTGGAGCACAGGGAGGGGGGAAGGGCACAGGATGAGATCAGCCAGGCTGGGAGGACCGACCTGCAGGGCCCTGCAGGCTGGGGAAAGGGCTCTGCACTGTTCTCTGTGCTGAGTGCCCAGGAGGGTGGGCCGAGTTCACCCAGAGTGACCCCAGTGACAGCGTGACCCCAGCCTGCGTCCGCCCCAGCCAGGCCCTTCCTCTTCCCCGGCACCGGCCGGCCCTCAGGCAGAGCTCCAAGCCCCGCAGAACTCAGGGTCTGGCTTTGGAAGATGTTTTTGTGCTCACAAGAAACACGGGTGGTAACGCCCTGACTGCTTCCTCCCCGAGCAAGATCACTCAAGCGCCACTCTGCATGTCCCCACCCGGGACATGCATGTCCCTGACCCGGTCCCTGTCCCTGCCCAGACCCGGGGACCTGCGCTCGGCACCAGCCCAAGGCTGCTCCGTCCAGGTGCCGCTGACCTGTCCTGCCACACACCTCGGGGGGTCCGTTTCTCTCCGGGTCTGGGATTTATACGTGCTGCGCCCGCTTCTTCACCCAGCAAGTTCCCAGTCATGCAGCGCTGTGCTGGGGTGAAGAGCACAGGCTTGGGAACCGGGGTGCTCGGCTTCAAACGCCAGCTGCCGCTAGCTGGATGACCCTGGGCAAGTCAGTTAACCTCTCTGTGACTCGCTTCCCAATGTACAGCATACTCATAATAACGGGTCCGACCCCCCTCTGAGGTGCAGCCTGGGGATTACAGGAGGTAACAGATGGGAGAAGGCGGAGTCCAGGTGCCCCGAGGATGCCACTGAATTCAGGGTGGGCTGTTCCCATGGGTCGCGTGCCTCCCCGCTCCCCCACTGCCTCCTTCGCCTGTGACCTCCCTGACGGCAGGAACACACACGTCCGGGCCACCTGCCCCTCCCGTCCCTGGCAGGGGCCTGGCACTGAATAGATGCTGTTTGTGGAAAGCATAAATAAGGAACCAGCAGGCAGGAGGCCGGGCTGGGTAAATGCGTCAGGGATGAGATCTGAAACTTGGGAGTTACTCAGGACAAATACTTGCAACAAAAGCGCCCGGGGCAGAGCAGAGCTGTGTGATAAAGACAAGGCCGCAGGCACAGAACAGCTGAGCCAGAAGCTCAGCAGGGAAAAACCCGAGGGAGATATCGGGCAACAGATCCAGGGCCCCAAAGAACTACTTTGGAGTTTGGAGCTGCAGACACCTGGCTTCCAGATCCCGGAGCCACCACCTATGGGCTGTGCTGTGGTCTTGGAGAGGCCTCCGAGTACAGCTGGGTAGGCAGTCCCCTGCCCAAGGACACCTGTCCAGGGTGGAGAGAAAGCAAGGGCTGGGATCTAGCTCAGTTCAGCCAAGGAGGTGTGAGGACTGCATAGGGCTCCAGGGGCCCCAAAGAAGGGGAGCTTTTAAAGTGATGCCCACAGAGGTGGCAGAGAGGTGACCGGCATCCCTGGCACCTGTATTGGCTCTGGGAGCTTCAGTTCTAACCTTGCAAAGTGGAGCTGGTGAGAGCAGCTACACCTCACAGGGAGGGTGGACAGCACTGTTACCTTGGTGACACTTTTTAATTCACACTTTTTCATTCCCAGTGCCTAGAACAATGCCTGGCACATAGTAGGTGCTCAGTGCATTTGCTGAATGAACGAATGAAAAGCCCAATGTGCTTAACCCCGTCCTTTCCCTACAGGCAGCCTGTGAACCAGGCGGCCGTGTGGTGGGCTCAGGCACAGGCGGGCGTGACCATGAACTTGAGCAAGCTCTCACATCCGTGGTCTGGAAGAAAACAGAAAGGAGGGGCAAGTCTAATTTCGGGCTGGAATGTAGCCTTTGTCAGTAAGCTGAGGAAAGCGATAAGGAGGTGGGCTTGGGAACCCGGGAATTGAGAGTGGGGGGAGGGACGAACCCCATTCAAGCAGAGCAGGAAGGCTGCGGCTCCGGTGGAATTCGGGAGGGTGTGGGGCCAGGCCTGGGAGCAGAGTTCCTGAATGAGCGGCTGGCTGGGCCAGGGCCTCCGGCCCCTCTTGGGAACCTTCACAGCCAAGAGCAGTGTTTCATCAAAACAGGAAAAATCATAGAGGAAAAATGCATATGTCAGGGAGCTGGTATTTACAGGACCGGCCCTGCCTAGACCCAAGGCCCGAGGATGGATGGGGGGTGGAGACACAGGAGACTTGCAGGGAGCAGAGCCTTCCTGGAAAAGGCCACCCATCCAGGCCCAGGGGAGGGGGGTCCCAGGAAGCTAGGAAGGGAGCCTGGGCTAGGTGACAGAAGAGGGCACTGAGAGCCTCAGAAATCACGTCCTCAGGGCATGATCCACAGCCACAGGCCCGTGGGCTTCAAACAGAACTTGACCTGATGTTATCTGTCCAAAGTGCCTCAGAAGCACAGTGGGACGTGCTCTCCTGCAGGTGTTACCTAAGGGCAGGAAGCAAGGACTTTGGCCCCAAACGCCTGGCAGGCAGGAGCCTCACAAGGGTCCAACGCAGTTCTTTCTTTGGACAACAGGACACTCCTACCCCATCCCAGAGCCCAGCCAGGGTATGAACTTGGATCTGGGAGCACAGTAGGGTCGCTCGGGAGCGGCCTGGATGACAATCGTGGCCACATGATATAGCAGCCACATGATATAGCGGCCACATGATAGCAAGATCCAGCCAAGGTCTCTCCGCCCCACACCAAGCTTCCCAGACACACACTCCTGGTGCCTGGACTTGCTTCTGTAAAAACACAGGATTCTGGTCTTGCCAAGTGTGAGCTCTGAGCCTCCCCTCTGGCCCTGATTAAAGAAGGACCTGGTGTGAACAGGAGGCAGATACCCCTCACTTGGACCGTGCAGGAGGCTCCAACTGCTCCACTCTTCCCCTTCTATCGACAGTGAGCTTTCCGCACAGATGGAGTGAGGCAACGCTGGGTATGTGTTCTAGAAAAAGCCAAGAGGTGCCTCGCAGGAAGTTCCCCCAAGGAAGATGTCTCTGGGCAGCCCAACCAGCCCCTCGACTCCTACCCAGGGAGCCCTTGGGGCTACATGGGGCCCTCTAAGGTCAGCAGACACCACCCAGGGGCTGTGGTCATGACTGTTCTAGCTGCTTCCACCCGAGGCAGGAGCAGAACCTGGAGCAGCTCGCAGTCACCGGCTGCTGGGCAGGAGGCACATTCCTACGTGTTGCATCTTCTGTGCAATACCTTTCCCGGCAGCAGCGGCACACGGCAAACCGGTTCAGCTGGTGAGGGTGGACACCAAGTCCACATGCCACGTCCCACACTAGGGAGCCCCACAGTGTGAGGCTAGCTGGGGCACTGACAGCCACCCAGCAAACACATGAACACATATGTACACACTCACATATACACACAGGCCCTCCTTTGACAAACAGGCGTGGCTCCCCCCAGGCGTCCTCTCCCTCGGCCAAACCTGCGCGCCCTCTCTCCCCTAGGCTGTTACTGCCAGCATGCTCAGGTGGATGCCCAAATGACAGCTGCTCCACTGTCACCGGCTGGGCCAGAGTCCCATGTGGGAGCCTGCACCATGGGTCAAACACAGAAATATCGGTGTGAACTGTAACAGTGACGGCCACCTGAAGTGGGCACTTAGGTGCGTTACCTCACTGAGCTCCACTGTCCCCAGGAAGAAGGCACCTCGCCATCCCCGCTGATGACATGGATGAGGTTCCTGCGAGTCAGAGAGCCTGCAACTCAAACCCAGGTAGGCTTGCTACTCACTACTTGACATATTTATTCTTTAGTGTGCCCAGCACTGTCCTAGGTCCGGGGAACCCAGCAGCGACCGAGACAGAGCAAGGCACTGACAGCCTGGGGGGACACCGAGCTCATCTTAACCCTGGTCTCTACTACTTCCCAAAGGCCACTGGCTCCTTCCAAAGAGAGATCTCCCTGCCTGGGTCCCTGGGGTCCACAGTTGGCTTGAGGCCCATAGGAACACCCTGCGAGGAGGTGGTCTGCAGCAAAGACCAGGTCCTGCCGGGGTGCTGGAAACCCCTGAACTGACTCACTTCCCTGTCTAGGCCCGGGGCTCTGCCCAGTCCAGCTTCTGCCTGTGGCCTGTTTCCCCTCAGCTGGCCCATTGGGAACGAGGGTGCGGGTCTCATCAATGAGGGGAGCCAGCTGGGTGTGAGGCGAGGCAGCAGGGAGTGGGGGGAGCTGGTGACAGTGCACCCTGTCCACAGGGGTGGCCGCTCTTCAGTAACAGCTGTGTGCTGCCACGTGGCCAGGGGGGCTGGGAGCCCCGTTTTTCTAGAGGCACTGGAAGTCCACATTTCCAAGCGAAATCTCCTAATCTGAAAATGCTGGCATTTTGAGAAAAAGCTAAAGGAGTTCATCACCACCAAACCAGCGGTACATGAAATGTTAGAGGGTCTTCTTTAAGAGAAAGAAAAAAGATAAACAATATGAACAATGGCAATAAACACGTATCCATCAACAATTGAATCTAAAAATCAAAATAAAGGAACAAAGATTCTATGAACAAAATAAACTGATGAACAAAATAAGTCCAGAGACACGAGGGTATGGAACAGACTGAGGGCTCTCAGAGGGCCGGATGGGGGGAGAGATTAACCACAGAACCTACACGCATATATGCATTACCCACGGACACAGACAGTAGGGTGGAGGAGGCCTGCAGGGTGGGAGTGGGATCTGGGTGGAGGGGGCAATGGGGGAAAAAGGGGGAAATATCTGTAATACTCTCAACAATAAAGATTTCTGAAGTGCTGGCATTTCATTCAAAAATGAGTTTAAATGTGAGGACCAGATAATCACATCTGTGACTGGGCAGAATTAGATCCCCCATGCTACCAGTTTACAATCTCTGCTTTAGAAGAGCAAGTCTGTCGGGAAGGTTCATGAATGGGGGGGGCTGTGACACTGAATTAGGACTTATGAGCCAGGAGCTGTAGGAGGC